CCATCCATCCATCCATCCATCCTCTTCCGCTTATCGTATATCAGGTCATGGGGGTAACGGCTTTAGTAGGGAGGCACAGACGTCCCTCTCCCCATCCACTTGAGCCAGCTCCTCAGGGGGAATCCCAAGGCATTCCCAGACCAGCCGAGAAACATAGTCCCTCCAGAGTGCCCTGGGTCTCCCTCTGGGCCTCCTCCCCGTGGGACATGCCTGGAACACCTCACCAGGCAGACGTCCAGGAGGCATCCTAATTAGATGCCCGAGCCTCCTCAACTGGCTCTTCTCGATGAGGAGGAGAAGCGGCTCTACTCTGAGTCCTCCCTGGATGACTGACCTCCTCACCCTATCTCTAAGGGAGAGCCCAGACACACTACGGAGAAACTCATTTCATGCACTTGTATCCGGGATCTCGTTCTTTCGGTCATGACCCAAAGGTCATGAATATAGATGATGGTAGAAACGTATATCAACCGGTGGCAGCCCTCCATGGGCTCCCACCTTATCGAGGGGTTTGAGTGTCCCAAAGACCTTAGGAGCAGCCCAAAGACCCCATATGACGACCAAAATAAATGGAAATAAGTAAGTGTTCGCCTGGAAGCGGGTCACCGGGCGCCCCACTCTGGAGCCAGGCCTGGAGATGGGGCATGCTGGCAAGCACCTGGTGGCCGGGCTTTTACCCATGGAGCCCGGCCGGGCACAGCCCAAAGAGGAAACATGGGTCCCCCTTCCAATGGACTCACCACCTGTAGGAGGGGCCAGAGGGGTCGGGTGCAATGTGTGATGGGTGGTAGTGGAGGGCGGGGACCTTGGTGTTCTGATCCGAAATTTCAGTAACTTGATTATTGAACTCTAACTTGTTATATTTTGCTTTGAAAACATATTTAATTAGCCTTTGTGTAAAATAAAGTAGAATAGATGCAAACATCAGGGAGACATTGCTGTTTCTTTAACCAGCCTGTTGAGTAAGAGCTGACTTTGTTGCTCCCTCTTTGGTTTATTTGATGCAATACTTTCTAGCGTGATGATTTTTATTTTACTCTCACTCTTTCTACTATTAGTTTTTGCTGCTCTTTTCCACGACAAATAGTGCTGTATAGGCCTCAGCAGCCTGAGAAAAAGCATTAGGAGAAAGGCTTGTTTGTGGCTCAAAGAACAGAATGGCATTCACAACAGCCTCTGCAGCTTAGTGATGATTTAGCCTTGTTGAAACATTAAGGAATGTTAAATCACTATATTTCATTTACCACTCTTTGTCTCTGTCCCTCTGTGTTTCCAAAGGGGCCGGTGTTTTCTTCCTATCATGTTCAGAAGGGGAGCAGATCAGCTTCTTGTTTGATTGCATTGTTCGTGGAATCGCCCCCAGCCGGGCCTTGTATGGCATGCCACCTAACCAGCCAGGTAAGCGTTAGCTTAACTCCTGCAAAAAACCCACAGGCTAACGACAGGATGGAATTAAATTGGTTTGTCTACACAAAATTGCAGATGTCAAAGATGAGCTCAACTGTATTAAAATACCAGTATTGTTTTTTTCTTTTTTTTGAGGTTCTTTGAGGTGAAAACATTGGTAAAATGTAAGCTTTTTCTAAGTTGTTATGTAATTAAGTGTAATGACATAGAAGACAACAAACAAACAACTACATCATTTCATCAGTGCACAGACATAGACTAATAAAATGACATGCCAAAGAACTGATTACACAATTTTGGTAATCTTAAAATCATGACATTTTATTTAAATTTCACACTTTCTGTCTCACCAAGACTTACCTTTAACACCAGGACACGAACTTTTTCACTAAAAACCTTCAGTCACTTTGGTATGTGACTTCTTGCTTCCTGTGACTAAGATTTACTGCCTGTTTAGTGCACTCATGTAGCAATTGTATCGAGGCGCCATGTAAATGGAAACACAACATGCCTGCACCCCCCGTATGTCAGCAGGGAGATTAAAGGGTCACACTTCAGTATGTGACCGATACGCAGTAAGATATTGTTGATTTCAGAGGAGATGAATGACACCAGCAACACACCAAGGAGCTCCATGATAACGCCGCCATAGATTTAGCATTATGTTTCACACAGGAGGAAGTTTACTGTGTTTGTTTTTAGTGCTAAAAATGTTCTGATCAAATGTAATGGAGCAAAAAAACAAACAGATGGTTTATTCTGCTGGTAGTGTCTCAGAAGATGTTTGATGTGGTTTTGTTATTGTCTAAAACCGAACAACTGAATAGCAAAAGAGGAGGTACCAGCACTGTTTTTTTTTTTTTTTACTGTTCTGATGACTTTCAGGTTTTCTATATTTTCAGATGTAAAAATCCTGCTTATCATCTCTCAATGAAAATCAATCCATATTTTCTGAGGTGGGTTTGTGAAAGAAGGAACAAACTATGGTCATGAAAGACCATAGTAACATCCACTTCAAGTCAGCCCTACTGCCACAATATTATGTTTTAACATATTATAAATTTGCTCCCAAAATGCAAAAAGAAAAGTTCAAGAAAGGAAAAGTTTGTTTTGTGATTCTTACAATACTCTTATTTAATTTAGTCTAGTTCAAACACAAAACCTTGAAGAATTACTAGACTTGAGAAGAATGTATTATATAAACAGAATATCTGATGTGGTTAGATTAGCCTTAATTTAGGATAGAGGAGATAGAGGAGACTCACTCAGTGGCAGAAAGTGTTGATAGGGGTGACATATGTGCTCTGATGAGTGGCCGATTCTGAAAAGAGCCAAACCAGTTTTGGACAGTCTACACTAATCAAACTCTAACAACAGCAGAATGAACACGCAAAACATCCATATTTTTTAAAAATAAATTACAGAAGACAAAATAGATTTTCAAAAAAGCCCTTGCAAAGAAATAGACACACATATCTATACATCTTTGCTGTCTAAATTAAGAACCAGTTATGTTTCTGCATCATATATACATTGATTGGGATGAGCAGAAGTTCTTTATCTCTAATTTAAAAAAAGACTTCTTCAAAACTGCAGAGAAACAGGACTTTCCCTTATTAAAAATAAAGCATAAACATTTCTGAAAAGAGCCTTACTGTTTATGCCTTATGATTAATTACTGTAACTTTGTTTGTGGGTAAAATAAAAAATGAAAAATCAGATCAATTAGGAAATTCTACCTGAGAGTTTTACTACTGCCACCCTTTGTCTAGGAGGGGAACTGCTGGTTTCAGATGAGGTGGGTTATGTTCTTAAGGAAAAGTCAAATTACCCTGCAAAACTGGCCCCCCTTCTAGCTCCGCCCATGAACCATGAAGCAAAAATAAAAAACAGATAAAACGTCACCATATCAATAGGATAATCTTGACTCATTTAGATGAATTCTGTTTTTAAACTATGGTAAAATCTGTAGGTTGCTTTAATTTCTCTATTTCCCCCAGATTATCAATAACCAGTAGGCCTCCTTCAACTTAAAACTCATTGTCTGACTGAAAATATGACACTTCTTCATACTTGAAGGTCAAGATCATGCTTTCATCAAAAATATTCTATGTATTTATATCTAATATTTTTATTCTTTCTTTACTCCGCAAGTTTAGCTTGACATAAATCTGGACCAAAATGAGGCAACATTTGAGCTATTTTCTTATTTAAGTCATTATTTAGTTCCCATGCTCCTTTTCTTTAAGTGTTAACCCACCTGCACAGTTTTTTCTCTGAATCCTGAATCACTCTGTGCTGAGAAGAAGCTATAATTAGCAAAAGGCAGCAGAGTTAGAAGATGTTACCTGAACCCCGGCATAGCGTAGTGGAGAAACTTGGCATCTAACTTCAGCAGTAGCTGCAGCCCAGAGGCACGGATCCAGGAGTTCAGCTGTTGAAGCACACACACACACATACACACTCACACTCGTTCTGCCATTATAGTGAGGACCATGTGTTGACTTCGATTGACTTCAGTTGATTTTCAGTCATTTTCAACCCTTTCTATGCCCTAACCCTAAAACTTACCCTAAACCTAACCATTACCAATACATACCTCACCCTAACCCAATTGACATCTTAGCCCTAAACCTAACCATTAGCAAAATAGCATGTGAGGACTGTCAAAATGTCATCACTTTGCAACAACTGGTCCTTAATTTGATGGTGAAATTGTAAAAATGGTCCTCATTGTGAGGACTAGACAGGTTCACTCGCACACACACACACACACACACACACTGACCGACCATAGCATGAGCTCAGAGGCACACACACACCTTAGCAAGTGTTTGTATGTTTACCAGAGATTAGATGTGTAATTAGCTGGGGTTTACTCGATATTGTGCTCTAAATTAGCTTGTTATTAGCGATGGCACCTGGGAGATGTCACAGTTACACTTAGAGCACCAATTATATGCTTACACACAAACATATTACAAGACATTTCTAATTAACACCACAAATGTAGTGTTTTCCTGTTTTTTTTTTTTGAGATACTTAACATAAGTTGCAGCAATTGATTTCCTTCCCAAAGAAGGTAAAGCTGTATGTGAAATCACTGCAGTGTATAGATGATGCCACAAAGGTTTAACATTAATCATCAGAGAAAGGAGGGTTCTAGTGCCACAGTACAAAGGGGGGAGATATAAAGTATTTCAGCCAAATAAACATAATAAATGTAATATAATAAAACTTAAAAGTATGTTTAGGTCTCAACCATTGGTCTTTTCTTGGTTCCTCAGGGTGAACCACTTTTTTACAAATCCCCACAGATTATGGAGCCATTTTCAAAAAGTTGAAATACAGCAAATGCTTCTTTACATTGACTTTTTAAGAGCATTTCACAGGTTTAGAAATATAAGAAACCTACATTTTATTTGCCCCTCTATTTTGTGAAGCATCAACTACATTGATGGATGTAAAAGATGGAGGTTGTTGTGGTTAAACTCATTGAAAGGTGTTAAACTGTGAACTGGTGTTAATGGTGGCTGTTTTGTTACCAGTGTTAGATATGTTGTTGCTATGGTAACATTTTGCAAGAATTTTTGAAAGCATTAAGCTAAACATTTTGTTGTCTTAATGGGTTAGCCGTTGTGTGAGAGTTTGGTGAAGTACTCATGCATACCTACAGAAACGTTTTTTTATATTTTGAAATGTTATAAACAAATGATTTTATAGTTTTATTAAAATTTATTTTTTTAAGTGTCTTGATTCTTTGTATAACTGTGAAGTAGAAGATAAAGAAGCATCCATTTTTAAATAATCTATTAGAGTTCTGCTCCCCTGAGTCAACACTTGGGTTGTGCATCTACCAGCTTTGGATATTTAGAGACAGAAATATTTGTCCATTGTTCTTTAGCATGATGGAGATGAGATTAGATGGAGAGTTAACATGAATTGTTTGTTCCACCATAGATTGTTGGAATGATTTACGTATAAACATAGTTTGTGTTATTCCTATATATGACAATGCTGTCATTTAAGCCCAATCCTTTGAGATTGTTTCTATAGGCTTGCAGGAAAGTGAACCTCCCCTTAATTTTTAAGTCTTTATTCTTTTTCCAAGCCTGCAGCCCTTCTATTCAGGGTCCGTTGTTCTGCATCGTTTAGATGAATCTCTGCCCACACACATTAATCAAATGGCTTTATTAACTTCTCTACATGTAATAACGCTATGCTGAGGCTGCTAGCACTAAAGGATCAGAGTATCCCCACAGCATAATGCTGCAACCACCATGCTTAGGTCAGGACAACTTCTTCAACATATTTGTGTCTCCAATGTGGGCTGTTGCAAACCTTAAACAGGATGGCTCATAGCTCTCTGACATTGGTGGCTTTCTCTTTGCCATTCTGCCATAGTGGCCCTTTTTCTTAAATGAGGAACTGTAGAGAATCACTGCAGTGAATATGTGAGAGCACGGATCCAGACTCTGTTAGGTCCTAAATTGATTTATCATCTAGAGCAGTGGTTCTTAATCCTGGTGCTTGCATACCTCTGTCCTGTTAGTATTAGGTGTCTCTTTGGTACTACACACCTGAATTATATGAAGGAATGATAAACAAGCTTCTGCAGCACTTAATGGATGCTGATGAGCTCATGAAATTATTTGAAGCAAGTCTGCTGCAACAGAGAGACATCTGAAACATGCAGAGCAGTGGTACTTCAGGACCAGGCTTGAGAACCACTGATGTCTACATTTTTTTTTTTATCAATTACAAGAATTTCTATTATTGTTTTGTTTAAAAGCTACTCAGATCAAATATAACATGTTCCTTATGTATTTCTTCTTTCTCTACATAAGCAGCAGATCCAGATGCAGACCCTGCATCAGCAGAGAAACGCATCAGTCAGGAGACGTCTGACCTGGAGAAGAGGCTCAGCATGTTGTCTCAGTGCAGTCTGGCCAGTAGCTCATGTAAGTCTTGCTACAAACTGTCCCTCTGGGTTATCCTCAGCCAGCACATCACTAATGAACATTGTAGTTTAGGATGTTAGGCCATTTTCAGCAGTGTTATATTTGCATTAGTCAGGAATTTAAAGAAGTCCAACGTTAAATTAATGCTGACTGGCTCCATAGGCATCCTTGCACCAGATGACAGCAATTAAACCTTGTTCTCCTGCATCAGTTGTCTGTAAAGATTACTGTTCTTTTTACTGCTAGCTGTTTTTATTACTAATCACTTTATCCAGATCAGTTGACTTTTTCCTCCTCTACAGCCTCCACCTATAGCTGCAGCACTTCTGTTGCCGGGGACGACCACAGCATCTCCAGCTCCTCATCCAGTCAGTCAGATGCAAGCTATGGAGGCCGGTTTCCGTTTTGGGTGGAGCCATCGGCCCGATTGCATCTTTCCAATGAGATGGCATCAAGTTCCTCCACACTGAAGGCTTTGACCCGGTCAGATGACAGACTGTATGGGGCTTTAAGGGAGGGCTTAGTGGGCCGTCAATCTTCAATGCAGTCCCAGCCTTGTGGGCTCAATGACTGCGACCGGCAGAGCTCTTTAGACAGTGGGATTGGAATAGCAGCAGGCAGTCAGTCGTCTTATTCAGGGAGCTATTCCTCATGCAATGGGAGTCTGGACATGGCCAGTCAAGCAGGAGGAGAAGATCGTGATGGTGCAGCCGTCCCTCCTACTCTCCTCAATCCCCCATTTTCACCTCCATCTACACCCCCTTCCTCACCTTTTCAGCTCCTGATTACTCAGGAGCATAACTGCCAATCCAGATGTGCCTCTCAAACATCTCGCAAGCGCAGTGAGGAGTACCAGATCCCAGGCCTACTCAGACGGTGGTACGATACACCCAGGAGTCTCCTTCAGGCCCTGACACTTAGGGAGCCGTCTGCTAAGAAAGGCACAACAGACCTGGGCAGCAACACCAGCACAGATAGAGGCTGTAGTCAGGAACAGATGTTAAGGAACGGCCCCAGAAACCGCAGGGCTCAGTGTCAGCTGATGATGCAGCGCTCACTCTCCTGGGGCAGTGAGTGGGCGCCCCCTGTGGACAGTGAGGGAAGGTCCACACCCACGGCTCAGGCAGCCCCTGCTGGCTCGGTCTCTGGAAAACTGCAGGTACCTGATGGTGTGTGTGTGTGTGTGTGTGCTTTCTGATTTCCTCTCATTGAAATTGCTCTAATATTCCTGTTAAACTAAACATTGCAACAAAACCATCTGTTTATTGATTAGAACATTAATAAAAAAAGGAGACTTTATGTACAGTAAGTTAGGTAGAAATGGCATATATTAGTTCCTAAGAGATATTAAGAAATTCAAACAAATAAGCAAGGATACACAATGTTGGTGAGAGTTGACACAAGACACAGACTTATAAGGCTCAAATTTCTGACCTATAACCAGAGCTATCTAGGCTTTTTAATGATAAATGTCACTGTTTTACATGCAAAAAGCTAAATCCTCAAACTGAACCCCAGAATTGATTCACTGCATCCTTCCTGATATTTTAACATTATTTGATAAGTAAGAAAAATTATTAAAACTGAAGTATTTAAAGAAACA